GGGAATGATTTCTGGGTGAATCAGTTTCAAGTCAGTGAGTCGGACTCGTCCTTGCGGGAGCTGACTGCAGCCAGTGCCAATAATTATGTTTGCTACTACACATCCATCGTGCAGATTCTTCAACATAAGTAACGTGAAGGGTTTGTTGCAATATCCTGATCTGTCTGTCGTTCGGCTTCCAATCGCACAGGGAGTCCTCTGCAGCATGAACTAGGTAGTAGTGGTGTCGATTCGGGTCGGCAGTGGCTACCAACGCACCTAAAACACCTTTGGGCATGGCAATGGCGCCTAGCCTAGCTGTAACTTGACAATGCGGCCATAGGCAACGAATTGCTAAGGCAATCACTGCTCCGGTATAACTGCCTGCACTGAATCCATTAACAGCAAAGTGAACCTAGGCCGGTTGCGTTGCTTGCCGAACGTCGGTAGGTGACAAGGGAGTGCCTTCAGCTGAGGCTGACCTCACCCCCGATTGACGCGGCTAGAGCAGCTGCTATGAGCCGAAAGCTACGTAGGCAAGCAAAAATGCACAGGAACTGGACATGACTGCAAGTGCTCGGCACAAAACACCAAAAGCACAGCATGGATGCAAATACTGGCTGTATGGCTCAAAAGTTACGTACTGGAGAAAACATGGAAGTTAACCTTAGTAACACGCATCCTCCTCCCTTTGTCACTGGTTATGATCGTCTGCATGCAGGTGTGTTTGGGCAAACAGCAAGGCTACGTACATTAGTCCGCATAGCTGCGCATGCAGCGTAGCTAAAGGGGCAATAAGAGCACCCTGTACATCAGGCGGCAGTTGTTCCACTGTTTGCTCAATGTCTTCTACCACGGTTTGGAGTGTCGTACAGCGCAGTTTCGATTTGGTGATGTGCGCGCCCTGTGCATCTCTGCGGAAGTTCATGCGCAGTGGGCTGGGCATCTATGCGAATTGGGGGGCGTCGTGATCGGTCAGTCACCGTCCAGAAGCCTGGTCGGCGCGGCAGCGCTGCCGGAAGGGGCGCGTTTGTAAAAAAGTGCACACCGCACACATGGCGTCCGAACTCGTGCAAAAACAACGTTGTCGTGCACGGCCCCAGTGAAACATGGTGAGACTTGGAAGGCTGGTGTGGTGTCGTTTGCCCACTTTGTACAAGATTGGCAGGGCACAGACCCTCGCCAGGCGATGAACTTACCTGGGTGCCACACCTGTCTTTCCTACCGTCGAGTCAAGAACAGGTCAGGTCCGGTGGCTGAGTCCGCTTGCCGCCTGCAAGGCAAACGGCCAGCTGCATCCGCAACTTGCAAACGTAAACGTAGTTCAGCTACAAACAACGCCGACTCCATCCTCTTTGGCCCATGCGGGACTGCTGCCAACAAAGTCCGCCCTTCTACTTCCCCTTCCAGAGCAGGCTGGCCTTTTCGGCCGAGCCAGCTGCCAGCAAACGAAACTGCTGATCTCAGACAGAGCTGATCTCAGACGAAGCATCAAGAAAAAAACAACCACCCTGCTCAATGTTGGTGTCGCAGCTCAAGCTTCCGAAAAAAAACGAAACTGCTGATCTTAGACAGAGCTGATCTCAGACAAAGCATCAAGAAAAAAGTAGCCACCCTGCTCAATGTTGGTGGTATCAAAACCAAATCAGGAAGCGTGAAATGAAAACGCCGCCCTCAAAGATGCAGCATTAAATCATTGGTGGTTAAGTGAAAACGCCGCCCTCAATGATGAATTAACAAAAGCTTGGGTTACAGAACGCTGCCAGAACATCGTCTCCTGCAAAGCAGCTGAGTTGGGGCCATCATTGAGGGCGGCGTTTTCACTAACCCCTAATGATTTAATGTTGTATCTTTGAGGGCCGCGTTTTCATTCATGCTTCCTGATTTTATTCTCCAACTATGTAGGCCCTCAAGTCGCTGATCAAGGCCAACAGGTGGATCTCAGACGAGGCTGATCTCCAACTATGTAGAACCTCAAGTCGCTGATCAAGGCCTACAAGGGAACTAGGGAAAAGGAACTGGAGAGATGTGGCTTGGGGACAGGGACCTGCGGAGAGGGAACTGGGGACAGGGGACTTGGGACAAGGAACCGGGGGCAGGGAACTGGGACAGGGAACCGGCCGGCAGCAAACTGGGAAGGACGTGTCCGTGAGTGTTGCGACTATGTCTATGTTCGGAGGTGTAGGAGGACTGTGTCTTGAGGATTCAGGAGCCTTCTGTTCCGTGGTGACGTGTTTTTGAGTTTTGCTGAAATTTGAATTGGATTCATGCTTGAACCTTGGAATCTGGATGGAAAGCATTCACTGTGGAATCCAGTTTGCTTACCCGTACTTCTGGATAGCCACCTCTTTCCTAAGGAAATTGAGACGTTTTCTTTTTTTGCCGTTTTTTCCTTTTCCTTGACAGATCAGGACTGTTGAATACCCGCCGCCACTTTTGTTTAAGAAGGCAGCTGAACGAAGCGCACCAAGAGCGTGGAACCAGGCGAGGATTTCAGTTTGTGTGTTTTGGAACACTTAAAAGACTGCTGCATTCAGTTACAGTAGAGGGTTGACTCTAGATTCCTTTTGCTTGCTGTTTTGAGCTTTGTGCATTATTGAACTTGGCAGGACTTGTCACGATAAGCATTTGTCGTTTTGACCTGTCAGGTGTTCACTTGAAAACGAAGAAGCGCAGCAAGATATGGACCTTAAAACCGCTTTCACCCCTGGGGTCCCTTGTGAAAAGTGTGGGTAGCACACGCCTGTACAGTGTGTGGATCACCTAGTACCTCTTTGTAGTGGAACTTTTCGTTTTTCTGTCCTTGGGGTTGGAGCTGAGAGGGATCTTCCTTCTGGGAGTGTGTTCTCTTTGACCTCCTTAGCAGGACTAAGTGGAATGTGACCAAGAAGGGGGAGCACGTCTAGAGAAGCCCTATGCAGAGAGCCGTAGAGCTTGAGTAGAGACTGTGACCAGTCAGACCTCTTCAGAAGAAGAGAGGATGGACAGTGATACAGTCAAACCGACTGCAACGTCTGGCTCAAGAGCGGGATCGCAAAAGGGACACTGACGCTTCCGTGTTTTCACATGGTAGCGGAGCCCCGAGGATCCTAAGGGTGAGGGGCAGACGCTTTGAGAGAAAGGAGAACTGCTTGTAGGGTTTTCTCTGAGCCGTTTTTGTGAGCCATGGAGAATGCGACTCCTACGAGGCCAGCTGTGACGCTTGGACCACCGGCTGAAGCCTCGAGGAGAAACCGCAGGAAACAAAAAAAATACCCAGCGCCTGGAATATTGTTGGGTTCCAGAGTCAGCTGTGGTTGAGCCGGGAAACTATAAATCAACGTTATGTTTTCTTATCGTTGCCTTTCTGACTAGGTTCTGAAGACTGATAGGTTCTGAATCGAATCTGACTAGCTTTGCATGGTGTCTCACCTTGCTGTGTAAGTAGCCTGTTGTCTGTTTCACTCTTCTTTGCATCTAATTTTCCTCACGCACGCCCGGAAAGTAAAAAACGTGTTTTCTACTGTTTTCTTATCCCTGCCTCAACTTCTGCCAACTTTGGAATTCTTAGCACTGTGTACTAGTCGCACTTCCACGATAGGTGTGATGGTGAATTCAGGATAAGATTGCAATCTTCCTGCAAATGATCTTGGAACATTTCTTTTAAGTCTTAGAGGATTGTGCCCCTCCCTGAGCTGCAATGTGTCCAACCTCAGACGATATTGAATACTTTTTTGTTTCCCAAAATTGATTGGAGATGAGAGCTAGAGAATTGTGAGTCACCTGTCAACGTAATAATGCCAATAATGCAGACCAAGAAAAACACCATGTGCGTTGCTTCAGCAAAGTCCGGACTTGCTTCCTGAACCAGTAGGAAAGTTAAGAAAGGATGGAAGGTCTTTGTGAACGCTGCTCACTCTGGATGGGGGCAGCTGATGACAATTCAGGTGTCCGCTCGGCTTACACATGGCGTCAATCCTCAGCACGTTGTGAGTTTGCAGAGATAACTGCGCGCGGGTTGAGTTTTCTCCACCGGAAAAGCTGTTTCAGGCAGAAACTCACCTCGTAGCCTCAAACTTTCCGTGAAGGACACTCCCTCAACATGGGGCTGGATAGTTCTGTACGCTCGGGTGTGTGGAAACGTGGAGTGCAACATGGACAGAAACGAGTAGCATGGACCTGTTGTGCCCGCTTCAAGTTAGATATGTAAATCTCTGCATTCCAACTCACTGCTTGACCAATTTTAGCAGAGAATGCATCACTCCCCAACGCTGTCCACGCTTTTGGCCGAGACAGGTCGTCTGCAAAACGTAGGATCTCATCTCGTTTTGTCTTCCATGCTGCGACAGTTGAAACTTCCGTCTGCACCAACAGTGGAATTTTGCCAAGCCAACAGTTCAACAGTTGCATGCCAAGTGCAAGGTGGAGGACGGAAACCCTCACACATTCTTCGAGCAGTAGCTTTGCCACATGTGGAAAACCTTCCTGCATGAAGTCAACAGGAACCAATTCCTTTAGCAGCTGTCAGGCACATGTTCGAGCATCGGCAATGTAAACCGTGAGTTGATAGGTTGATACTGCAAGGTCAGCATGGCGCCACCAGGCAAAAGGGGACCAGCTGCAAATGCAAACGTGTGGAGGTCATGAGATGCAGAGGTGCAGCCAAAAGACACTTATGACTATATATATATATATATATCAGCGACCGTGCAAATGTCGTTCCTATTTCTTTGTATAATTGTCCTGTTAAAGAGGTTACGCATCAGAGGTGTGAAGTAAAGGGTGTTCTTAGTTCGTATGAGATTTGACAGAACGTGTTTTGCTTTGCTGCGACACTTCGCTACCATGCCTTTAGCGGCGGTGGAAGCTGAAACGCACTGGAGCCGAAGCTTATTCGTTCAGCGTGCTTGACAGTGTTTCAGGACGTTAAACACATCCACATCAGGTCTTCTCTTCGAGTTCTCATTTTTTCAGAAGGAAGAGCTTTCAGAGAAACTTTTGGTTTGGGGGACCATGTCCTTGGCTTGGTGTCGTCTGGATTCTTTGGCTCAGCTGCAGCCGACTGCAGAAGTTCCCAACGCCATTCTTTTTTGGTGCTGCGGCAGGCTGGCATCGACCAGGGATTCGGTCAGAGTAGCAGATGCTTCAATTGAAGAATTACATCTTTTCTATTCGGCGGTTGGTTGGTAGTTTCAGAAATGTGAGTCTATGATTGACAATTCATGACTGCCATCTCTAAAGCAGTCAACCTGTCGAGGTAGCAGCTGCCGGCTCTTTCACTCGTGGGGTGGGTGCCGCGCTGTTCATGCGGATTTGCTGGCTTTTGCTGGCGCAAGCCGCAGCTGCATGTACACAGACGGGCCAATTCGATGAAGTGCGGGATCGCAGTGTGAAGTTTTAATCAACTTCAGGCCTCCCACATGCAAAAACTTTAACATTTCTGGCCCAAAGCATTCGGAACACGACCATTTCAGACTACGTGCTTAGAGGAACATCAGCGTGGGCATTCACCAGAATTTGTTGAGCCAGGCTTGATAGATGGAGGACCAAAGTTCCGTTTGCAACTTAAGCATCACGTTCTCTATATGCATACATGGAATTACATAGACACATAACGACACATACACATAAATCCCAAGATTCCTGTCAATATTTTCTTCAGATCAAGGCCGCCTTCACGGCTTCCTTGTACGCTGGCTCCTTTGGTGGTGTTTTGCTCGGGCTTTTGCTTTGCATCTTGGCCTCCTTGCCACTCTGTTGTGGTGTCTTGAAGGAGCACAGCAAGGCCAGATGGTTCCGTTTTCGCAGCAATAAATGGAGCGAATGGAGCGAACGCGGAGAGCATGAAACAATTCGAGATAACATGTGCATCCTTTTGGCTTACATGGGCGTAGGCACAGGTGAGTCATATTACTCAAGTGATTCTTTTCAGACAGATTGATTGACATGGGCATTCCCCCTACTTGCCTGTCCACCAGTCGACCAGCACCTGCAGGTGATCTCCACCATCACAATCAGCTTAGGCATTTTAACTTTGGTGGTGCCTCTGTGACTGTGATGCAATTAGTAGTACAGTAAGCCCAGGAGCCCCGTTCGTAGCGTCCTTGCTCCTATTTGTACAATGTGTGGCGATGTGCGGAGGCAAAACCTTCGGTTTGTCGCAGATCTAGCGAGCCTGCATCTACTCTTGCCTTTGAGCTTTGGATCAGCGCAACAAAGGTTGACACATTCACAGCGGTCATAAACTCGATCAAAACCGTGGTCCTCCAGCCGGTTGGCCTTTGAAGTTTGCCTCCCGACTTCTGGAAAAGCAGCACCGTGTCCCATAAGCAGCAGTCACTTGCTTTGGGGCCTGCTCATCTCAATGCCCACGCTTCAGCTGTATGACCTGGATGTGCAGCTGCATTCATGTGACAAGCAAAACAGCAAAGCGAAAACAGACTTCGCTGGCAAGAGAAAAGTCAGCACGAAAGAATCAATGCCCATTAAACTTTGCTCGTGAAAAGGAACCGGATGAAAGTGGGTGCATGATTAGCCATTTTGAAGACCATCCAATGTCAGGGTAGTTGTCAGCATACCATATGTAGTCACACACACACACAATTGTTTTGCGTGTTTTGCCTGTGCAGCACGCGTCAATTACGTCAATTTCACTCTGAAGTTCATTTTTATTGCAAGCACGACTGACCTTGTTCAACAGTTCAACATGACTTTTGAATGTGCATCATCTCCAAGACCTCTCAACTTCTTAGCCAAGGCAATACTTGTTGTTTGAGACGTTTTCAATTACAGTATAGTGTAGGCATGATTTCTGGAGCCAGTACACCATAGTCATGGGCCTGGAGAAGCCCAGGAAATAGTTGCTGGTTGGAACTCTAGCTTGTGGGTGAAACACACTTTCATAGCTGTCTTTGCCGTTTCAGTAGATGAATTCACACGATCATTTCGATGGTGGGGGTTTCAATCTGCATGATCCTCGCATGGTCTGAGGTTAGGGTCCTTAAGCGCTTGTGGGCCATTTGTCCAGACGGTCTGCAGCGATCGATGTAGTGGCTATGAGTGCACCTCACAAGAGGAGGAGTGAGATTGTTGGATCATGCAGTCAAGATGTAAGAAGTTTGTGCGAGAGTGCGCTACAGGGTTTGGTTTTCATTGGCTAGGAAGAGCTCTCCCAAGTGTGCCATGCTTTGGGCTTCATTGTTGTGCCTTGGTGGTATGAAGAAGCGTTTTTGGATATTTAGTAGTTGAGGTGAACAGGATGATCCGAGCTGGAATGTGTGAGGTGTACATTGGTGCTTTTGGCTGGGCCGCATGTGTCGTGGGCATTGTAGCAGCCAGCTTGGGGTGCTGCGTTTGCTGTCAATGCTGCAGGCACCTTCAGCGAGTGGGGAGTGGGGCGAAACTGAAGCGAAAGTAAAAGGTGGTACGAGAGTCTCAGTATGACTCTTCAAGACCAAAAACGAGAGATGCTTTCAGAACCCGCGTTGCATGGGTCCGACATGTCACGTGTAGACTGCACGTGTAGACCGCACGTGTCGACAGCGCTCGAGGCCGATGCACCAGCCGGTCTCTCCACAAGTGGTGCCGGAACGGCCAGAGGTGGAGAACGATCTGGATCCCAAATTTAGTGGGCCTGCGGTGCCTGTCATGGTTGTGGGCACTCCTAGCCCCAAACAGGCACCTTTGGTCGGCGAAGTAGTCAGTTTTCAGGACTGTCAAGGTGATCTCAGGTGGTTGCTTGGTTCTTTAAATACTACAGGCCATGACGTGAGGAAGCCAGAGAATGGCCTCGAGGGTTCAAATCATAAGTTTGAAGCAACTTTTGAAAGCAAGAGTTTGATGGAAGTTAACATGCCTTGGGAAGACTACATTTGGCTTGATGTTTCAAAAAGGACACACGAAGTTCCAGGTCGTCTAGACAACCCAGACTGACTCCACAACTTCTTCCAACACTGACGCGAGGCAATGTGATTGTTGCCTCAGAGTTTAGGTGCCTTTGCAATCATTTGATGGGCATTTTGTTTTGCATGTACACGTTTTGTCAGCAGCTGTAGATTGCTCGGAGACAGTCTGTCAGCGCACGGTGAGTTGTTAGTGTTTTTGGCGTGGCAAAGGATCAGTCGCTCAGTTCATACTTGATTCTCGGTTGCTTGAGTGACATTCTTCGGGCTGTTTGCTGCTGTCGTCCGGCCCTGTCCTTGTTTTCAGGTGTCCTTCCAATCCCCACTCGCTGGACTTCGCTGGAATCGCACAGTGCGATCCGGGTGCCAAGCTCTCAGTGGAGCTGACTTTGGACCCGAAGTTTCACGGGACACTTCAGTCTATGGGGTTCAAGAAATCTCACCAGGCAGTGTTTCAATGTGTGTTCTCCTACAGATGCTTTCGTTTCAGATGCCCCTTCTGACAAGTTCGGACTTCGGAAGGAAGAGCTTCTTTCTTTTTGCGGACATGACCCAATCACGTGGCAGAAATGAAGAAAGACTGAAAGCTGTTGGTAGGGGTATTGCTGAATTGTGACACATGAAACAACTACCCAGAGTTTGACGCCCGTGGTAGGGGAACAGTTTTCCGGTCAACTTGCAAGGGAACTTGTAAGCTAGTCAAACTATAGTCAGTTGACTTCAATGCAGTGCCACTCCTGACGCTTTCAGGGTTTGCTTGACATTGACTAGTCTATGGCAACCAAAATTGAACATTTGAATGAACCACCGAGGTGGGAACCCTGAAGCAGGCATGATTCCTACAGCTTTGATGACTGGCATGCTATTTACTATCTAGGATGCAACCCAATGGCACTCTGGCGTTAGCTGTTGTAAAATGTTGTAAAGGGAATCAGCAAAACATCCGCAACCAGGATTGGCAGAGGATGTCAGCTGAGACAAGTGCGAATTCGGAATTCAACAAGCACGCCAGAAGACTTTTTTGAACATGCTCTACATGTTTAGGTTAAACTCATTGGACATGTTTACACGTGTTACAATCAAACTCAAGCCTGAAATCAAGAGACGCTTGGTTCTGTTGACGAATTCACCACACACCTTCTTGTCTCAACACCCTTTCCCGCGTGCTGACCGTGGACCGTTCCTCTAGTTTAAACATGGGCTGGTGGGATCGGTGCTGTTCACCCGATGACAGGGGGATCTCGAAATGGTGTCGCTTTGGTGTTCTTTGGAGTATTGATGGCATATATTTTGCATGAAGAATGCAACGGCACTGACATTCCTGTTTAAGATCAGGACATGACATGCAGTATTCTGAAGAACTTCACATCTAAGCAGCCAGGATAAGAAGCCGCAGGAACTTCAACCACATGCGGAGTAGTTGCGGAAGAAGTGCGGTTCAGACGCGATGGACCAAATCGCGACAAACCTGAGATCCTTACTTATAGCTTTGCGTCCAGACAAGGTGGAAAAGTGAAATGGTTCTGTTCTGCCTGGAATCTTGTACAGCAGACTTTACTTTGCAGCTCTTTTTCCACTACAGAAGAGAAGACATGTATCAAGCGAGAGAAGACACAACACGCATTGCGATTCAGTGTGCAGAGTCACAGTACCTACCGGGTTGAGTGGTTTGTTTTTGTTCCGCCCAAGCAGGAAGAGGAAAGAGGGACGTTAGATGAGAATGCAACTTGAGAGAGACGTACACACACATTGATTGCTCTGTGCTCGCCGTTATATAAGCCTTGAAAGCTCGCAGGGGTGACAGGACTGGTCATACAGCAGCACAACAGGGAACCAAGATAAGATCCGAATCGACCGCAAGCCGCCTCCTCCGGGCTTCTTCTGAAACATGGTGAAACAGAAATATCTCCTAGCATGGTACTTTGTGCCCACTTTGTACGGGCAGCTGGGGCGGATAATTCGCCCAGAAGTCTCAGGACCAACAAGTTCTGCAGATCAGTGCGGCTGACGTATGTTCCAACGTAAGAAACTGTGTGAAGGAGCTCGGCAAGAGATCATCAAAAGAAGGACACTTATCACTCAACAAGTCAAGCCAAAGCTTGGTGAATGGTGCTTGGCGGCCTTGGGCTTGAAGATCCAAGTTCCCACTTGCACTTGCCCCCAGAAGCTGCACCCTCACTTTGCGAAGTATGGCTTGCGCAATGGAAAGGCCTGAACTTGAGGCTTGGCAGCGATGCTTGCCAGGGTGTTTGTTTTGAAACTGAGCTGCTTTGTCACTGGAGTGTTCCTCCTCTAGTTTCCCGGTTTAGGTTCCCGGTGTCCCTTCAAACACTTGGACAGCCGGTGGCTCCGGTCACAGGGTCACAATCGAAAAACAATTTTTGAGAACTCGACCGTCCTCTCTGCCTGGAGAAACACACCCCTGCTGGATGATGCCTTCCTTAGTGAGGCAACGCCCCTGCCAGCTGCGCCATGTCTGTGCGCCTCCGGTCGTTGGAGATATGAAGGGGCTGTTGATCGGGGATCAGAGTGATAGACGGTGATAGACAGGTATCTACTAGTAATGATATCTCCAACCTTTGCCGCCTTGATGCATGTTGTTTCGGTGCCTGGATGTCATGAATGATAGCCCATCTTCACCATTTATCCATGCCAGGCCAGGCCAGCTAATGCTCTTGGCCCGTCCACCTGGGAAGGCCTTGGACGGCCTTGGACTTTCTGAGACTCAGACATCAATGGACGGGCCTGGTCTTGGCACGTTTCCAATGGAAATGGATTAGTTTTGTGGACAGAATGTGTTCCTATCACAAGATACCTGGCTGCTTGCAATCATAGTGGGTTTGTGTTTTGGTCGCTTTGCGTCCATCTGTGAGCTACTTGCTTAGGTGTTTATTGAGTTATCTAGGGAACCAAATCATTAGTGCGTGAGCTATCCTGCCTCCAGTAGGTAGTAGCTTACGTCGCTAGGAGCTCACTCCCTCAATTACTTAACTAAGTAGGCACCCACTTAAAAAAAGATAGTAAGGGCGGGCTTCAAAAATAACGCTCTCCTGAACCTTCCAGGAGTCTTTGGACCTGATAGAGCTGCTGGTGCCACTGGAGGCTCTTTTCTCAGCACGGCTCACGCTTTGCAGGTCACGGGTCTTTTACATTCTCAGACAGCGTAGCTGCAGCTGTGTAACTGTGAGGGCGCTCAATTTCTGCATGAAGAACGATCTTGACGAAGAGATGATTTTGTTCAATTTGTCTTCCATTGGCCCCACGAAGAGATGATTTGTTTCAAAGAGCGAGATGTTGCTGGTCTTCAACCGGTGTCCCCCGCTTGATTCCTTGATCCCTGAAACAGCTGAGTTCTCAGCTATATGACCAAATTGTCCCTCAATGTGGTCCTGTGATGAATGTCTTGCTGTTTGTCTTAGTTTGACTTGTTTTCCTTTGTCCTCTGTGACTGCCCTGCCCGCCTGCCCGCCTGCCCGCCTGCCCGCGTGCTTGCGTGCTTGCTTGCTTGCTTGCTTGCGTGCGTGCGTGCTTGCTTGCTTGCTTGCTCGCTCGCTCACTCGCTCGCTCGCTCACCCTTGGTCTCCGTCGGAAGTGAGATTTTGCTGTGTGGGTTCGACGTTGTTGTATGATTTGTATGCTTTTCAAATGCTTCCAGTTGAGCAACATGTTTCCAGGCCACCTTGCCCCTTTTGCGTGCGCTTCGAAGAACCCTGGATGCTGTTCCGGAGGCCGGGTGGCAACAGCAGAATGATTGAACTCAAGGTATTTAGGCCTTGATGGATTGAAGAATACAATGCCTAGAGCCTAGCGGTGCATTGCACTTGACCTGATTAAGACCGTTTCGGAAGGCAGTGGAAGATGATCCGAGGTTCTTGTCTCGTTTTTGTTGAACATGAACTCTGAGTCCTTCCAGTATTTGTCAACAGTCAGATGCCTTTGGGATAAATTGAAATTTGACGTCCTGTCAGATTCTTTAGTGCATGGAGCCAACTACTCAGGAACTACTCTAGTGGACAGGCGGTTGGAAGACTCAGGATGCCTTACCTTATTCCATGGCTGGTTAAACTTCAGATGTCACAGTCATTGAATATTCTTGGTTTTTCGACATTTTTTGAAGCATCCACTGGTCAAGGACCGAATCCAGGACCGGCCACGTTGCCAGGTGGGACATGGTGCCACATGGACGCAGCTTTTTGAAGGCTTTGGCGCTGGAGGTGGGAGATTTTGTTATTCACACTTACGCCGCTCTTCAAGTCATATCGTCGATTATGGGCGTCATCTCTTAGTTTTTGGTTGTTTGAGGCCCATCATAGAGTCTCAAAGGATCCCAAAGGGCCCAGTGCAGAATAAATGCAAGAGAACATGTTGTGGCCATCGTGGTCTTTTCCAAATCAGGCTGCACCAAGCTTTCGCATAGCCTGCAAGATCTGGTACAATAGCCTGCTGACAAGATCTTTCACGAGCGACTTGTGTCGACCACAGCGACCGGAGAGACGACTCGGTGACTCGACGGACAGAGGCAGCGACCTGGCGGGAGCCGGGGAGTGCAAGGCCTGCGGCGTGGATGGCGAGGCGCACCTCGAGTGGCACGGAACTTGACTTCCCTTCTTAGTACATGTTCGGGTAAAGCCAAGCTGGAATTGTCAAGGTCGACACAGTCCTACTGTGAAATGGGCTTTTTCGCTTCTACAATGAACCCCTCGCAACCCGTTCTATTTTTTGTTCCTGAAAGTCTGAAAGTGGATGAAATTGGTACAAAAGCAGACCTGTTTGAATCGTGGAGCACAGGACAGGGAGGGTTCAAACTATGCGTCTCTTCCCCGCCGCTCTGTCTGCAGTTTGGGCTTTACATGAAAATGCTCAATGACACTGGCTGGCAGGCTTTTGAACTATTGGTACTCTCAAAGCAGCACTGCGTAGAGCACATACACGCAACAGCTGTTTTCACTGGCGAAAGAACATGAGGTCAGGTCGAGGCATGTATCCTGCACCCTATTTCAGCTGGAGCTGTCCAGTGCAGCTGCATCAGCACTTCAAAGGCCAACTACAATGTAGCTTTCCTCAAAGTGAAAGACGCATCATTAGTGGCCGTCTTTCATGGAACAAATGCTGTGTTTTTGCCAATCACTGCAGAATTGTAGCTGCTGAAGTTTCTTGACAATCGCTGAATGCGCTGGAACTCAACGTGCTGGAGCGATGACGGAGGTCTCCTTCAAATGGGAGGCAGCAATTCTTGTTTCGCTTTTTGGTGTGTTTCTTGTGAGTCATGAACACGCACACACACTGTTTGGAGGTTCGCACTGCAGTAAAAGCTGCACAGTCACTGTTCCCGCAATCTCAGCCGCGCGAGATCTGCCCACAAGGAGCCTGACAAGCTGCGCGTCGGCGGTGGCAAAGGTGCAGGTAGAAGCTGGGCTCTGTGGGGAAGGGGCCCAAGATGGTTGCCAAAAGCGGACTGACAGGGGTAGGGTTCGACTGCAAAGGTCATTCACTCAACTTCAGGTGAATTTGCTCTCTGACGGTGTGCTCAACAGCGCTGTGAATCACAAAAAGAATAAAGAGGACTGCTGTAGGACTCGCAGAGATAGTCAGAGATGGACCTTTGGTTGTTCCCCTGCATGGTCACTCCATGGTTTTCAAGCTTCTGATCGAAGCATTCATAGATTGGAAGACTTGGTCTTGGCTATTGGCCACTAGGTCTTTGCTCAGTTGGCCTCTGCTGTGCCTCCATGGTGCCAGGGAAGCATGCAGCGGCATTGCTGGCCCAGGAGGTGCAACTGGCTGGGGAGGCTGCAGAGGAGGCCCGGAGAAATCGCCGCTCACAGCAGCACGTGGGGATGATGTTAAATCGATTCGGCAGGTGGGTTCGATTTTTGATTTCGGTTTGATTTTAGTTAGTTTCACCGCAAATGGCATCATCTTAACAAGCATACCAAGGAGAGGCGCGAGCTGCGGTGGTGCCAGCGGCCAAAGTTGCCAAAGCTGCCAACCAGAGTGGCGAGTTTGTCGGCGACAAGCAGGCGAGGATGATGCAGTTACGAAAGGGTGCTGAGATGTGCTGAGCATGTGGATACAAAGTGATTCAAGCCCCTTACGTTGCTGGTGGAACCAACAATCAAAAGAGGTTTTGCCTCGATCACTTGCTGTTGCAAGAGACAACACTTGATTGAAGCATTCGTTGCTGATTTGAGCGCCCAACTGCACCACGCGCTACATACAAGATACGTAAATATGGCAAAGCGCACAATTATACTGATACTGTATAATCATCTTTGCAGAAAGCTTGTATCACCACCTCTTTGAGAGTCTATGGCTGACTCATGATAGGTCTTGGAATTTGCTTGCGATGCCAGCTTCATGCAAGGTGATGGGGGGGCAAGAGCTCAAGGGGACAAGAGTACTGACATCCATCCATCATGCACATAGCCCAGCTTATTTGAGCTGAGCTGCTTTCGTGCTCACGGCTGGTCGAATCAACATGGATACAAAGCTCTCTGGCCAGTCATTGTGTGTACACAGGCTTCAAAGCAAGCAGACAAAGCTTTTTTCAGATGTCTGGGTAGCAGATTTAGCTGGGCTTGTTTAAGAATTGCAGCTTCATGAGTCCCTGACCACTCGGTGCGATGTTTCAGTGATGTTCTGACGGGAGGTCGTGAAGAGGGTCATTTGGATCGGCATGTTGGGACCCAAGCGGATTGGAGGGTGTGGCTGGTGTGGCCACGTGGCGTGTTTCTCACGCTGAACGTCGTCGTTGCGATGTGGGAGTCGTCGTTCGAACGCAGTCAATGTTTCTTGTTGACTTGGGTCTAAAGTCTGTAGCCTCCCCAACCCGAGTAGCCCTTTTTGGGGGTCAAGCAAGAATGACCCAAACCCGTGGATTTGAATTTGGAACACACAGGGCATTCGTTTGGATTTGATGGATGGAGCAAACTGGGCTTTCCGAAAGCCCTTGATCACACTCTGAATGACTTGGCCAGGTGATGGTCAAGGACCTCCTTGCTGCCTCCAAAGCCCTGAAAATGCCCCTGTCACTGGCCACTCAGAGCTACACATGCAGCTTTGAACAAGACTTTCTCGCTGTTTGGATCATCCTGAACTTTTGTTTTCCAATCCAACAGGATATATCAATCAATATCTCTTTTGCAATCCAGTCATTGCATGAACCCATATCGCGACATGCGTCCAAGGAAAAGCCAGTGGCCCTTTTCTCCATCTACGACGGACATTTCGGGACAAAGCTCCTGTACTCAACTGACTCTGGTGTCCAACTTTTCAATGCTCATGTGGCCAGCAAGAAATGCCCCGAGCGAATTCAACCACTTTTTCAATCTTAAAGTCACTTGTCACTTATTCGTGCAGAGGGTTGTGAGATCGTCCCTAAGGTGCTCGGAATTCGCTGCTCAGAACTTCCACAAGAAGCTCTTGCCGCGTCTGGGGAAGGCTAGAAATGAGGAACAGATGCTTGACATTGCCTAATTTTGATTTTGCCCTGCTTGACCACTGTACTTTGTGAGCTACTGTTTGGCAGTGGCAAGAAGCAGACTGAGGATTCGGGAGAGTTTGGTTGAGGCGTTGGCCGATTTGGACAAGGAGTTCCTGACTAAGTTCCGAACAGACTCTTCGACATATTCGGATCGTATGACTTGAACAGAACTTTGCATTGAGCGTGCGGGGCAGGTGCAAGAATTTCATTTCGAAGACGCGATAACGCGAAGACGCGAGCTGGACCCTGGCAGCGTTGTAACGTCGCAGCGTCGCAGCGTCAGCGACGGAGACCCGAAGACGCCCGCCTATCCTTGCAACGTCAAGGCCATGTTGCTCGACAAGGGCCGGTGTATGCAATCGACGTCTGAACTGGGCAACGCAGTCACCTCTCAATCCAGAACCTTTCCACGTGCCAACAGTGAGCAGATAGCAGTCAGCACAGCGCAAGGCAAGATCACAGTTACCCCAGCTCACAGATGCAGAACGACGTCGCCCAAGCATTTCTCGCCCCAAACCCACTCTTCAGGTATTGGTGCTGGTTTGTGCCGGTGTGTTGGCTACCCAACCGGAGCAACAAATTTTTCTCCCAGCGGAGACGCTGAGAAGTTTCTTTGGAACTTTCACGCCTGGATGCGTCAATGGCCGAATCAGCAAGTAATTATATTGATAGGCTAGGCGATAAGAGACAAAGATTTTAACACCGGCACCTAGCCAGTCCTTGCTTTCACTGTTCCAACAAATGTCTTATTTTTTTTCTCTCTCTCTCTCTCTCTCTTATTCATGCGGCGTGATCTTCTGTGGGAGACGCGGTGCGTCTTTCGCGAATGTCAGTTCTGCGCAGTCCTCGGGCGCCGACAGTGTCTTACCTTGTTAGTAGCAATTTTCCAAGCTTATATGCGCTAAGGTCTCGAAATCCAGACTCTCACTTGTCATTTCAAAAGCCTGATTTGTTGAGTTCCGATGGCCATCGTCATTAGTTCACAGAGGTGGGCACCCAAATTTTTTGTCATCATCAATGCTATACTCGGATGGAATCACACAGATGAAGTTTTGCATGTTGCAATCTTAGTGTACCACTCTCAGTCAGACTTGTCGACACCCCCCAAAAAATCATGTAACTGTTCACAATAGAGTCCGGACCGCAGCGAAGCACATGAGTTTGAGGCAGGCAGCTAGATCGGCATCCCCTGAAAGGATGTAGGATCGAGGTCTGGTCTGACGCAAGCCGGGCCCTCGCAGCGTCGCAGCGTCGCAGTGTCACAGCGTCGCCGGTGAAGACTGGTAGGGCGAGCCCAGAGCTTGGTGGGGGAGAGCAGCGGCCCGAAAAGGAGTGAGAATTGAAAATGTCAAGTGATGTAGTTGACGCCGAGGAGTGCATCATTAGCATCATGAGGGGCTCTGGAGGCTATTCAAACAGTCTTCGACCAGGAGTGGGAGTTCATGTTGAGACGTGAAAAGTGGTTGGAACTCTTTCAGGAAAGTGGGATGTGCATCTCCCAACGCTTTGTTTTCTTGTGGCCAACATGAGTGGAAGGGACTGCAACAAACGACGTGGCCTTGAGGACAGGAGAGGGAACAGAATGCGCTGGGCAAGTGTTGAGTTGCTTGCGGGGTGACCTTTTTAAGGTGACGAGGTCTGTTGACCGGACGCAAAAGGGCGCCCCATATGGGGTGGGAATTCATGTGGAGGACAAGCAAAATTGGGGGAGGACGTGATAGGAGAAGATGTGTGGAGCTCAGCAGGCAAGCGAGAAGCGTGGGTAAGCGGAGTAGAGAGAACGTTTCCATCTGACACATTGTGTTCCGATCCGAGTCGATGGAGCTTGTTTGTTTTGCAGCTTCGCATCAGTCAGTACCTATCACTGACTGGAGGAGGATCGCGTTCAATTGCTAAGCCACGTAGCCTTGAAGCCGAATCCAAGGGCGGAAATGGTATTGAAAGAGATCGTGAAGAATAAACATGTTTGAGAGTAGAGTTCTTGAAAAGTTCAGGAAGTCTTGCTCTACTGCATCTTTGCATGCAGTTGCCCTTGGACGGCCTGCCAAGTGATTCGGATTAGCGAAGTATACGTCCAGGGACCCCGTTGCACACGTGACGGGCTGGTCAGTGAATCGTACCGCAGAAAAAAAACTTAAAGCAGCGCAGCGAGAAAGTCAGGGATGCGCTGCAAAAGATGAACATCCGATAGCCTAGGCGATGAGATCTCCACAGCAATCTTTCCTTCATGTTAGGCAATCGCGTGATCTTCGCGGTAGACTTCCATCGATCCGCACTTGGCAGCACGCCGAGTTTCTGCCTACAAGACACGAATAACGAACAGCAGGCAAACCAGTTCCTTGGGGGTGCCCTTTTTCAGCCTGAAAACGCCCTTGAAGCAGGAGGAAAAAGGGCACCCCCGCCGCCCACCACCCGTCGGCGTTGCTGCAATGTCAGCTTCACCCCATAACAAGGCTACCCTTTACCCGATGTTGGACAATCACTTGATCTTGGCTTTAGCATCGGTCCACTCTTGGCAGCACGCCCAGTATATGGGTCCATCTACAAGACAAAAATAACATACAGCAGGCAAGCGCCTGTAATTCCTTTGAGGTCCCTTTTTCACCTTGAAAACGCCTTTGAACCAAAGGGCAAAGGCCCCCCACCTATGTCTTCTGCTGTCTAACTCCAACAGCAGTGCACGTCACTGCAATATCGACTGCACCCCATAACAACGGCGATCTTTCCCCCATGTTGGACCAGCACATGATCATCGATCCATTCTTAGCAGCACGCCGAGTTTATGAGTCCGTCTACAAGACACGAGAAACAAACCGCCGGCAAGTGCCCCCGATTACTTAGGGGTCTCTTTTCTGTCTTCAAAACGCCCCTTCAACCAAAAGAAAAAGGGCAGCCCACCCCCCCCACCTGTGACTGAGAGGCTTCCTGCCTTTGCCTTCTATTTTCCCATGCCTCACAGCGCTTCCAGCGGGCTCTTGCATTAACCCCCTATGACCATATTGATGTCTTCTTCAGAGGCTGGCTTTCGTCCCCTCCCTTCTTAGGTTAGATCGTCGATGTGTGAATACCAGAGCAAAATATTCCGACCTCAGCTGTTCCTTTTTTGTCCTTGTTTGAGCCGAACTTGTGAGTATTTTCGTCAATTTTGACACCAAGGATCGTTCTGGATGCTGTGCACAGCTGGCGTTGCTAGTTGGACGCAAACTCTATCTGGTGCAGCTGGGGTCGGGTGGTGCTATGCTTAGTGAAGGCCGCGCATGGAACGGGGCCTTCCAGTCGGACAATCGATTTAGCAGGTGAATCCTGAATGGGCCTGAAAAACCGAGGCGCAGCGCTACGATTTCAGTTTCTCTGAAGTGCACCCATGGTTATTTTTTTTGCAATAAGCAGGAGTAAGTCGAAGTGATTAAAGATGGTTCAGAAATAGGGTATCCAATGTATCCAATCCCATTTGTGAAAGGCCAAATTTGCAAAACCCAGGTTTAATGGTTTTACTTTCTTGAACCATATCCATCTGGGCTTAGATACAGTCAACCATTGAGTCAACCATATCTTTGTCAATGTGGGCTTGCAAAGAGAGCCAGCTCAGCCAGCTGTGCATTTCAGGGGATGGTGGTTGCAGGGTCTTCGCCGCTGGTGAGCTGGATGTTGAAGAGGACCGCATTCGTCAAGCTGGCGGACAACTCCTGGAGGTGGCGCCTGGTGTCAACCATGTCGCTTGGTCGACCTATCAATGTGCCGATGTGCTGCAGTTGCTGCACGTTCAAACTTGTTGCGCTTGGTGTGAAACCCCTTTCTTCAGAAGTCGTTTCCAGAGGGCACCCGACTCCTTGGGAACAACAACAGCTTCGCTGGCTGTTTCTGGCCCCCCCGGGCCCCAAGGTGGCCTCGGCCAACTTTGAGAACCGGCTCAAGGAGAAGCCGGTGAATCGGTGACCCTTGGGTCCGTGGATGATCCGTGGTGGGTCATGCCTTTTCGGATGTTTCAGGTACAAACAGGAGGAAATCAATTGAACATTCTGACTCAGGTGATTATATAGACAGTTTCAAGGCTTTTCTTAGCTTTGTTTGATTGGAATGTCCACTCTGGGATTTGCGCACAGAAAGAATGTTGGAACACTACACACACGCAGACTCACTGATACCAATTTTGGCTCTTCGACCACTGAGTCCATTCGGCCTTGCAGAGGAGTATCGAATCCAACTGGCCTCGGGTCTTGGTTGCACCTTGACACCTCCAATGACTTCACCCTTTCCACGAGCGCCGCTCAGTGGAAAATGACACCGAGACTGGGTGGAGGGGGTGAGCCTGCTTGGATCAACGGCAGTCGAAATGCTTCAGCAGTCGATGCTCAAAACCCACGGCGTCTTGTGGTGCCCTCCGGAAACCTGGTCCAAGGGGGTGAACAATATTGAACAACAACATCTAGTAACACGGGCATCGCTACTATGCTACTAGTAGCTAGAAGCTACTCATAGTAATGCCCTTGCTACTGGTAGCGATGCACTAGTTACTAGTAGCTTCTATGCAGCGACTGTAGAGACACCAAAGACAAAAAACGGGATATTTGACTGGTCCACCGGTGATGGTTCGTGGGGATGCAAGACTTGGTGTGGTCCATGAGGCTAGGTGATCGAGAGCTGAAGCCTATCGTGAGTGTGAAGCCAGAGGCAGGGCCATTTTGCTGCCAATGTTTAAGCAGTGACAGTCTCGGCATTTTGCTAGAATAGAAAACTTGTGAACCTCTTTTCAAACATTTGTCTTGATATGTTGCAGCCCCAGGTGCACGTCCTGCCCTTGGAGCCAAATCATCGCGCCTTCACACTATACTGCTGGGGGGCCTAGTTGCACGCCTTCAAATCCTTGTCTTTCATTGCGACTGTGACTTGCAAAGCCATCGTCTCAGAGGTGATGGCATTGCGGAGGTCATGAGCCCTGAGGAGCAAAGACAAAATTGTCAGACGTCGTCGTGCCATTTGCTTGGCTACGTCTCTTATCGTCGTACATTTGAGCCGCTAGGGCCTGCCAAGCTTGTAGAGTCTTGTAGCTACAGCCTGCCGAGTGTCGTGAGGACATAGATGTGCTTCTCAAGAGCATGCCTGGACAAGAGAAGGGCGCGCCAGGGCGGCTTACGCTACCTGGAGTAGATTTGTAGCCCGTGTCGTGCTATTTGGCAAGATGTTCATTTTCTGAACAGGCATCCAACGACCGAGCAAAGTCGTACGCACGATCCAGGTTGTACCAAGCGTTGGGGCGGGATGAGCATGCATTGATCAAGTGAAATGAGAAGCCAATGCCGTGAGAGGGAAGAAGCCGATAGAAGCATTTTTTTGCACACCCCTAAACTGGCTCTTTGTACCAAGGCAAGATGCTTACAATCGTGGCAGTGAGCAGAACCTCACCGTGTCTTGGAGAAACTAGGGCAAGGAGATTGGATGAATGAACGTGGATCAATGTAGAGCAATCAGAGGAAAGCAGCTGGACAGAAAGATTTGGCTGTTTCTTGCATCTCACTGTTTTTGCACCATTGAACTGTCTGCATTCTTATGGACCAAGAATTCTCCAGACCCGGGAAGTCTGCGGTGCTTTGGAGGCCATCACCGTCTTCTTCCGTTTCCCTGCGAAGCGCAGCCACGCTGAAGCATTCCCAGAGGAGACGCCACGGACGCCGCAGACGACAGCAACGGCGCCAGAGGCAAAGCTGCCGCCTCCAAGGACGGCTCAGGATTTGAGGCCACGACATCTGGGTATTTGGGGATGGCTCAAGAATATAACAGCCTTTAGGCCTCTTTAGGCCTTTTTAGGCCTTTAGGTTGTACTTTTCCTTAACAGATTTGGGGTGTACCTCTTTTTGTGCCATGCCTGTCTGGGAGTTGGCGGTGTTTGTGGTTTGGGGTTGATCATTGAAGAAAGGAGGTGATAGTGCCAGATTTTGTTTGCAGTTCTGCCTTTTCACTTTCATTGCCTTTCCTGACATGAAAAGAACATACCAACTGATTGATTGAATCATTTATCCACTCTATATAGTCAAGGTGGCCCTGCGGGCTTGGAAAGCACGTTCTTCAGAGTTGTTGCATCGTTCGTGTTGGCTCAGGGATCTCAAAGCAGCGCGGAGATCTTCGGAGCAGGAGAGGCATGGACCTCATCCAAAACAAGCACCAAGGAGGAACATGTCATTCTGAGTCATTCTGATTTGTTTCAGTGCTTTCCTGGGCTAGCTGCGTGACTCTGTTATTGCTAGTTATCACCAAGCCAGTCAACATAAAACATTCCATGGCCAATCTGCTCAACAAATGACCGAGCTGTCGATTGCCTTTCCTTAGTCCACCAGTCCAGCAATGATAGATCATTTGTTCACCAGGCTCCGATTCTGTTTTGTTTTCTGCGAGCCTTCGCATCCCAAATGTCGTAGGAGTCCATGGCTTGCTATTCCATTGATCAAATTGCCAAGGTCCAGGCACCAAGAGGCGCCGCAGATCATCGTTTACTGCCCACAGGACTGGCCGTGGGTGGTGCAGAGAAGAGGAATCTTTCTCGAATCCCGTTCATTTGCCAGCTATGCATCGAACTCGTGACTGATTTTGTCCAGAGATTTAATCTAGACTCCTAAACCAAGATGTTGAGAGAGTGCGAATCCACCCATCAACTTGCGTAGTATTTCAACAAAGCACGATGTTGCGATGAAGCTACGCTTGCTCCTCGCCTTGTTCCGGAGGTTTCGACATGTCCAGGGCACTTGTTGGGACAAGCAAATCAGACTAATACTTGCTGTCTCGGTCAAAGACCCCAACAGAGACCTCGAGCTTTATGAACACTGCTTGATGATATATTCTATACAACTGATATTCCAACAAATTCCAAGTTTGTTTGCTTCTATGACACGAACTGTGTGAGAGGAGAACAAAGTGCACAGTCTTCTGGAACAAGCAGGCTCTTGGCGCTAGCAAACAGGTGTTGCAGTCGGTTGAATTTGAGCTAGTAGCTAGTAGTCATTTGAAAATGTAATCATGGGTTGTGACATTCAGCTTGTAATCTTATAAGATCTTGAACATGCTTGTCCGATCTGGTCCGTTTTCTTGTTTTCTGGTCATTTTTGTTGCTCAGGGATGCTCTTCGAGGATGTGGACGGTGATGTGGCGCATGAGTTCCTTGAGGAAGATGCAAATGGGCTTCGCGTGGGGAAGTGCATGCCCATTCGGGTTTGATCTCAGATTCACCCTCAGGTCCGCAGTGGTAGAGCTCAGGATGTTTCGACTGCGCAACAGGAAGATGTCGAGGATTTCTGGAAACTCTGGTTGTCAATGGTTGCACCTCATGACTGCTGGACCTGAGAGAATCCTCCGCTGTCAAGGGGCTGGAGAAAAGACGTCTGAAGTTGAGCGAATCTCCCAGGAAGCACATGCAAGTCCACCTTTATTCCGTCCAGGTTTTGATGAACATACATCCATCCAGGGAGACCAGGCTTCATGCCAAGGTCGAAGCGCACAGTGATGCAAACTCAGTTGAAGCCTCATGGCGTGAATTTGATCAGACTTGCCGTAGCCGTAGCTGTTCATATTCAAGACGCGCCAGTAGGACTATTCGAGCCTCGCTTCAAGGACTGAAAGAGCCAGGGTGGCTGGATGCCCGATTCCATCAGCTTCCATCGGTCTTTGGGGGGGACTCTCGTCGAACAACCTTGGACTGACAGTCCATATAGAGAACGCGGGTGTTTTCCGCTTCGCAGGAGACCTGGCACGTCCCGATGCCAAAGGAGATGCACGGATGCAGGATGTGGAAATTTGACTATTTTTGTTCTCAGGATCGCTCGGAGGAAAATAGTTTCCGCCATCTTCAGGGGTACAAGCGCCCCCAAGACCTTTACTCTCCTCGACTGTTCAAACCATTGAAGTGTCCACAGGTCTCACCGCTGCTTGCGTTTGCGTGGCTTTCTGTTGCCAAGGATACCCTTCGATTGGCGGGAGGCTGGAGCATGCGTATCTACTAGCACGTACTGTCTGTTTGTGAGAGAAATGTGGCATGGTCAAGTCATGCGATGTTTCTGGTGCATGGTGAATGGACAATTGAATGAATTGTGAAACTTGTACTTTTCACCTCAGCACATCTCTTTGTCTATCCAACCAGCACCGAAAAAAGTGGCTGACTCTTGTGATTTCCACATAGCCCAGGTTAATGGTTGGGGAACACCTTCTGACCTCAACTCTCTGAGTTCACACCTCGGAATCATGAAGACAAAAGAATAAACTAACACTCTGAACCATTAATGTAAAAACCTTTGGTTTGGATGTCAGCCCAGCTTCAGATTGACCCATGTGGCCGTGGATCAAAACTGGGGCCACGGAAATGAAAGGCATGGACTACTAAGGAGGTCAACCTAGCAGGGTTTAGGTGTACTGTTTCTACCGCTCATTTTCCACATGGTGCCTACAATACGACGAGCGAATACCATGTGACCCAAAAATATGCAAAGCTTGTCATTATCACTTGATTGATCGTTCATGCACGCAAGAGTTCGTGGCTTATCTTGACAAGCAACTGTGTACTCGAATAGCAGTGTGATTGTGACTCAGTCACACCTCGTCCGGGCTTTGTTTGTGGATTGGAGAGGCAGTAACATGATGTCCCCCGCTTGGCTGCCCATTGCAGGATGAGAACACACTGATCTTTGTCCTCTCTGCCACAGGTGACTGGAACTTGATAGGGGTTCAATGGCTGCACATTTTCTTGAGTCACAAGCGATATTGGAATGTGACACTCAGCCTATAGCTCTTGCACTGCCGTTGAACGCCGTACCCCCTGCCCACAACTTGAATGGCACAGCAGTGCACTTTTTGTGAAGACACGATAGGTTTGAACTGCTACGCGCCCCCGCCTCTCCCAGGTGTGAAGGCCAAGAACCTGTCGGTGGCGATTTGCGACGTCTACGTGAAGGTGCGGCTGGCTTCGTATGCCGATCACTCTTGGAGGATACCAATCATCTACAGGAGTGATCCGATAGAAAAAGGCATTTGTTTAGCAACGCATCCTGAGCGAAGCTTGGCCACGATCTTTGGCTTGATCATGGTCTCAGCTGCGAGGTGAACTTACCGCCGGCGCTCTTCGAGGTACCTTGTCTTGGTCAGAAGGTCGCGAAGTCTCCGGCTGGCGGAGCGATCAGCAGGGAACATCAATGCATTTTCCAATGTCTTAGAACGTAAACATGCACAAATGTCCTTGCTTTGTTGAACATATTCTTGGCTGTCCTAATGCGTGTCTCAAGCTCAAGACGACTCATCACTGATAGATCTGGAGTCTGCAGCAGAATCACTCAGTCCGACCAGTTCTTTTCCAGGTAGACCTCCTCCATGAGATTGACCCGGAGCATCCAAAGACAAGATGCAGAGTCAGTCCAGACAAGGCAACTAGTTTCCAATGTTTTGAGAGTCCTTTACATCATGCAGCTCGCTTAGATCCAACATCATTTTTCTTCCCAGCATGATTCGTATTGGAAAGGGACTCGCACATGAGCTGCTTCCGTGCATGAGATCATAGAATCATTCAGTTTGCATCGCAAGGTGCAGCTTTGCTGTCATGTGATGACACACTGACCATGCCTGATGCCAACTTGTCGGGTGCAAGCATGGGAGGTCACCGTGACCCTCCAGAAGCGAACGCCACAGATTTGGGGCGAATTCCGTGCCAGTGGCACCAAGGCAGATGAGTGGATTCCAGTGTTGAGATCTCTTGAAATTTTCCTGTTGAAGTTGGTTGACCCCATTTCTTTCCTGCCAGACCTCACAGAAGATGTTTGTCCGCCAACCGTCATCAACCCTTTGGGTGGCCAGGCAGAGCTGCGGGCGCGGCGGCAGGCCGCACTGGAGCAGCTGGAGCTGCGGGAGGCGGAGCGGCTGAAGAAGCGACAGGCGCCTTGAGTGGACGTGATAGAAGGGGATGTGACGGATGGTGACTTGATGGATAGACCCGGGCAAAGTCGCACTTGCACAAGTCCAATGGCCGAGTCCCATAGAAAACGCTTCGTCGTTTCTTTCAAGTTCAACACTTCGTCCAAGTGAGTAAACACTTTTCGGGATTCCTCTATCACCGAAGCGGAGGGAGATCTCCGCCTCAGATGCAGAAATTCAGGACTTCAAAGAAGAGATGCTCAAGCATGGCGAGCATGCGCAGCTTGGCTTGTGGTCTTTCGCTTGTGACTTCAAGACAAACAAGGCCACTTGCAGTTCTTTCTATAATAGAAATCATTTTTGATTTATATAGTATTTATTCTCTTTTGTTCATATGTGCCATGGTCAAGACTTGGGCGACTTCTGGTCGCCCACTTTCAATAGAGACTTCTATACAACCCTGCTTGGGACCAGTGGTCATGGGCTAGAGTGTAAGGACATCATGTTTTTCTTTCCAATTGGGTGTTTGTAGCTTTGGTTTGCTATATCGTTTTTGGAGTGAAGGGGTCATCGTTGATCTACTGCGACTCAAGTCGTTCTTTCTGCTTTATGAAGGTAGTTGCAGTGGCTCTTCAAGCGGGGCATTTTTTGGGGTTCATTTGCTCAGGCAATGGAGACTAGACTCCCAGAACCGAGAGACCATCCAGAAATGGGAGCAAGAGGTTGGATGGGACGATCGGGGAACGCCAGTTCGGAGGTGTCATTGTGCTAGACAAGTAGCAAACGCGTAGCAGAAGTTCATCGGTGGCTATATATGTTCCAGAGCATCGCAACACTAGCTTCGCACAGAAGGGGGGGAAGGAACGGAAGAAAACCGGAACAAATAACCTGGATTCTCTCTCACTACCGGTTTACTTTGCGCTTGTCACCCTTGACCCAGGAGAAGGAGAAGTGGGAGGAGGAAGTCTACAGATCCTTTGACGCAGACACCGGCGACCTGCTTGACACGCAGCAGTGGCTTAGCAAGAGTTACTGTACTGGTTGGCAGAGGCATGAGCTGAGATAAATGTCACTGCTCGATTTTGATGCGGGCAGCTGTGCTTTGCACAGTGTTTCCAGGTCTCCAAACCGGAACCTTGTACTTCATTTCTGAGCCACCATTTAGTGTGGTCAACATGGTGCAACGTGGTGCAACGTGAAGCTGTGACACATGGGTGGCCAGTTCGCGAGACCTGAAGCAACGTATTTGCAGACGGGACCCTTGTTGTACACGGCTTGGTATTGACTCGAGGCCCAAGAAAGGCCTTCCTGACAGCTCTTCAAGAGAGCAGAAGTCAAACAGAGGACCTTTGACAGCCTTTGACTGTAAGATTCTCCTTGCTTAACCTTGACATCGCAACGAAGGTCAAAAGACTCCGGAGACCTCGATGAACCCGACATTGTGGAGGTTTCAACGGAGGCCAGGTCACAAAGCTTGATTTGGTGCACGGAAACGAAGGTAGGGGTGTGGAAGTCGCTTCTGTGCAGACTTGCTTTTCATGAGTGGGGTTTCATAGTTTTCATGTCTATATACCTTAGGGTCAGTGCTCATTGCTTTGTGGGACAAGACTTGCCGGCAGGTGGTGAAGTTGAAGGAGGAAGTGAAGGTACAAGAAAAGCTCCAGGATTTTTGTACTCCTTGACTCCATTGTCCAAAAAAATGGTACAAAAGCTCTAGGACTTTTGTACTCCTTGACTCCATTGTCCAAAAAACAAGAACGGCTCCAGTGGTTTGACAATGAATATGCGAAACGCAGCTTCAGCTTCCCTTAGTCAGCTACCCACCTCGGCAATTACATTAACCTTGCAATCGATCATGAGTCCTTTTGTCTCAACCGGTATAACCATGTCAATTCGGCTCTAGGAGCCCATTTGGACCGAGCAAGACTTCGATGACACAGAAGAGTTTCCTAGCTGATACAGCAAGGTTGGTAAGTGAATTGTGCCTGTGCCACGCATGAAAGTGGACTAGTGCAACATGCAACTGCATTCTTACTTGGGCTTCCAGCTGGTCGATTCAAAGCAACACGGCCTGGCCAACAGACCAATAGTCTGCCATGGTTTCATATCCCTCCACAACCAGCAGACCACTGAGGTATTTTCCGGATGTGCGGGAGTGCCCAGGGAAGATTGGATTGCGCTTCACTGCCCGGCCCCGTCCAGGCTGTGTGGATCGGGGTGAGGGGGTGAGGGTGCTTCGAGGGAGATGACCTACGGTTTGGCACAGGTGATGAGACAATTGAAATGTGCCAGTCGACTGTTTGTCTCAACCACTTTGGTGGAAAACAAATCGCTAGGGCCGGGGAACAAGCTGTTTGGATTTTCTTGGACACGTGAACAGCATGGTCTTCGTATGTCTTCGTTCGTTTCGACCGGTTACCTGGCAACGTCTCTTGCCCAGGCGTTCCGGTCCGTGACCGCGGTCGTCGCGCGCCACCCTTTCCAAAGGAGCTACTTGAAATGACATGTCTCAGTTCAAGCAAATGCGACAGAAAAACGGAACAAAAGGGGCCGTGGCTGCCATAGCTCTAAGATTGGAAATGAGAATTGGTGTCGGGTTTTGTTCCGTTCACATTTGGTGCTGTTTGCAGGAGGCGCCAAAGACGGACCTTCCTCCCATGATGGCCACTTCGCTGCAGTTTGCAGTGCGTGTTTGGCTCCCAATCTGTACCCGATAACTCAAGGAACTTGAAGGGTAGGGCGCCTAGTAGCGTCCTTGCTCCTAGTAGCGATGCCCTTTGCTCCTAGTAGCTTCTTGTTACTAGTAGTAAGGCCAGGAGCCACAGGGCTCTAATATGGCCTGTTGAAAGTCACTTCCTTTCAACGAGTGCCATGTGTTTAACAATGTCACGATTGTGAGCTGAGATCGGAGATCTAGCAGAGATCCCTTAAACAATCTAAGGCAGGGGATGAGCGGGAGGAGGACGAGAATGACCCGGTGTGGCTGAAGGACAAGGCACAAAGTCATTGTAGTGACAAAAGACATCCCTTCTGGATATTTGGAGCTGGATAGGCTGGAAAGGCTGGGTCTATGGACTTCGACTACATGGGAGAATGTGTTTAGGTATATGAATAGTTCTTGTGCAACAGCAAGACTGTTTGCTTTGCAAAGGTTCTTGTAGAGATAGTTGAGTCAATCACAAGGACCATCCCTCCCTGTTCAGGGGGATCAGCTCATGGTCCGTGGCGACTACAATGGCGCTTACAACGCCTACACGGAGGCCTCGTACGTGTGCTGAAGTGCGACTGTCGCCCGGAAGCTTGTTCCGAGTTGTGGCAGGCTCTCAAGTTGGGCTCCAATGCCCGATGCTTCGCCAATCGCGCGGTCGCGTCTTTGTGACCCGCTGGTGATGACTTGACCAGTCATTTCAGGGATGCACTCAATCACACCGTGATACAACCTTGCTACAGCATCAACCATTTTCCCAATCGCTCCCAGTACCCAACAATATTGCAGTAACATTACCACAATCTAGCAATATTGGGAAAACCATTTTGGGTACTGCCGGTTGGGTACTGGCCCAACCCTTAGATTTGGATATAGAGCAAGTCACTAGAGGTTGTCCAAACTGGGATGATTGTGCCAACCTGGTCCTTTGCGGTATAGGTCGCTGTAGAGAATTCCAATCGCGTCCAAATAACATGATTCCAAAATTGCCCAAGAGACTCCAGCTGAGTCTTTTGATGCTTCAAGTTTCTTTCTTCAAATTGTATGGACCACGTATGTTTGCCAGGTACTTAGGAAACTTCGAGCAATGCCTCGAGGATGGGAATATTCTGTGTCCTCTGTCCTGTGATCGTTTTGATTCGCAAAAGCCCATGATGGCAAATGGCAATTTGTTCCAACAGTTTGGTGCGTAGGATCCTGATTCGTTCAACCATGGAATGACAACTGCTAGATGTTGCAGGTTCAAACATCACATTCAACAAAGGAATCTTGAATGTGTTATTTAGAGGACAGAGGGGAGAGGCCGAGCACAGGTTATCTCCCTTCCACATGGTTCTTATCATTTATGCCACCACTTTCTGGCCAAATCTCCAGGATTGCAATAGATCCATTCAGATCTTGGATTTCAGGAGACTCCGGCTGTGTGCCCGTAAACGCAAAACAGTCATTCTTTATTCCACCCTCATCTCCCTTCAGTCCTTGTGTTCTACTTTCGCAGGCCTCCACATGGCCTGTTGTTGAAAACGTCGCCTTTCTTGCAGAGGGATCAATCAGCCGCCCTTTTTGCAATGCAGAACGAGCCAGTGTGCTGGGTAGGAGCAACAGTATTCCAGTTGGTACACAGGAAGCGCCGTGTTCTCCGTGTTTCCTTGAGCGCACATGAAGCGCCGTCAGTGCAGGAGCAAGCCCCGCAACGGAGAGTTGCACCATAACGTTGACCCTGAAGATGAGAAGGTCCTGACCTTATAGCAGCTTGCTTGGAGGAAGGTACATACTGCAATGCAATGGAAAAGGCCGCTCACAGTTTTGAGTCCGGTTGTTTCTTCGACCTGTCGCTCTGCTTTCTTCGACCGTGAAGGTCCGTGCCCGCGTCGAGATCCGCATGGGATCGGGTCCTCAGTGACGTGAAGATGGCTCAAGCGGATGCTCTCTCATGTTCTGGCTCTTAATAGTCCAAAAGATTTGGTCCTCCAGTTGTGGTGAGGATAAGGTTCAGCCATAGAAGAATCATCAGTTTTCATCTCAGGGTTCTATGCCGAGATCGACAACCCGACCAGAGTGTGTGTGTGTGTGGCTCTTGCGGAACATGCAACGAGGTGTAGCTTTCCTTTGGTTGGGTGCTTTCAAGAAGGCTGGTATGCAGCATTTGAGGTTCCTTCGTGGTCCCTCAATAATGTGAAGCACGCAGTCTTACATTGAAGCATGGCACAAGCCACTAAATTGAAGGGAACATATTGCAGATGTGGGTGAACATAACTCCGTTTGATTTGACGAGTCGAGCGCAGGCAGAGGCGCATTTTGAAAAAGCCCTGAGCACAGAGGGTCTCGATGCGGATGAGATCAAGCAGGCGGATAAGATCAACCCCGACAGTTTTCTATTGATTTTTCGGGAAGTGTTCTTGTTGCTGGTAGTAAGGCGTATTCATGTACGGTTTTCCTAGGTCCCTTTTCAGTTGGTGGACCTGCAGCTTGCATCACCAAACATGCACCTATGCTTGCCAGTGTTTGCCGCACCAGAGCAATTTTGTTACCTTCTTAATCGCAACAGAACTTGTAATTCTAAAGCAAACTTGGCGGAAGCGGTGGCTTTTGTAGATGCCCTGCTTGATTTTAGCAGGGGATACCATACCAATGTGGTTGAAAAATGTTGAACATTGTTCGATCTACAGCAGGGGGGGGTGCTCACCGTCAAAAATCTTATGTATGTAGTCGCCAGACCTGACTCCACTTGGGGAGGCTTTTCCGATCAAGTTTCGTAGGTTCGTGCCGACTTGGAGCGGGTCAGAAGCGCCTATGCTGCCCTGAGAGTGAAGGAGCAGGCTTGGAGCAGGTCGATTTTTGACGTTGGATTTCTGGTTCTGCTGGAGACCAAAGTTTCCTGCAAAAGCCCAGGCCTGGTTGCAAAATCAGAAGGCCACGGATAGCTGAACACCTTTGGTAAGGTTCTTCCCGCATGCTCGCTAAGCCATACAAAAGAACTGGAAGCAGAGGGACATGTGAGATATTATATATATATATATGGATATGGCTCAAAAAGGAAGACCCTACACATCCCTGGAGAATCTAATTGTGGATTTGGAGGATCTTTTGTTTGGAGAAGCCATTGGAAACTCTGGTCAGCTGGTTGGGCCCTACACCTCCCCTTCACCGACCGACCTCAGGCGGATCAAAGCCTCCGCAAGGGCGACTCCGAGGATTGACCGGGATCGACCGGTCGACGCCTCTTGAGAGTCTTTCTACGTCGTCGCAGACCTGGTCTTTGTCTTTCATTCGACCCATGGTGAGACCGATGATTGTGAGGCACTTGAGAAGGCTTTGGACCTCTATGGTGAGGCAGATGATGCAACAAAGCAGGAGAGTGTTGGGGGAGGATGGATCAGGTGCTGCAGGCATTGGAAAGGTCTCAGGGATGATCGCCGAGATTGGTCAGTTGTTGCTTGAACTGGGCACTCTGTGCTGCAGCCTGTCTGAAAGGTCTTCCACAACACGGGACTAGTCCTTGAAGAACAGCCCAAGTGGTACACCAAAACGAGCCAGAGTCTTCTCCAGACCCTTGTAGCCTGTTTATCCTTCAATCAAAAACAGCCTCAAAGACAAATAAATAATATGATGTGTACTGCAGTGTGGTGCTGTGAGCTTACTTGGGATCCAGTGTACTATGGGCCATGTGGGTTCCCGGTTTCAGACAGACCGGGTTTGCACAGGAGTGTGCGGTGGTGGTGGCGAACCGCTGCCAAGCACGTTTGCGAGGGGGTCAGCTACAGCAATGCCTTGAAGATGCCTGGGAGACCTGGAGCTCTGGAGACTTCTCCTGTGTCTAACATTCAAACTGTCGAACAAAGCTGGACCTCAACTGGGTCTGACAGACTGACACAACGAGTTCCGTCCACGATGTGGAACGTCATATCATGGAATTTTCGCAGTGAGTTTGGTCTCGCTGTCTCGCCCAGGATTCCATCTTTTGACAGCATATTTTGGCTCAGCTCCGACCCCCACCCCCGGCATGAAGCACTTCTCAGTCGAAGCTCGGACTCGGCGCTTCGACCATGAGAGCAGGCACGGATTGGGGCCGAGCATGTCAGACGAGCATGTCAGATGAATTGCTTCGAACACACTCTAGAAACGACAGGAAGAGATGTGTGAGAAAATAGCCGTTTGAAATTAGTCCGTTGTTGTTCCTGCAGTGTGCGCTTGTATTAAGATAGCAGAAGAAACACTGAGGGTTTGAAGGGTTTTCAAACATTGCAGTCGGGGTCCGCAGCCTTTGTGGCTGTGTGGGCTGGTTTCGATATATTTTCTGCCATTGCACCAGGTATGGAGGTCATGGTGGTCACAGCCTAGTCAAGAGCTTTGAAGAATGTGCTCGAGACAACGTCCCCGGTTTCGATGGCGTGTCTTGGACCGTGAGACGTCCAGGACTGGCAATGTAGGTGCACCAGGATTCAAAGATTGAAAGCCCTAGCAGTTGCAAACGAGGCTCATAAATTTTCAGACCTTGAGGAGAGTCTTGTGCAACCTTGGTCGTGAACTCTAGCAGCTCTCGCACATGTTCTGACCAGGAGATGAACGTGGCGTCGCGGTATCTCAACTGGAGCTGGACTGTCCGACACTGCTTGCGACACACAAGGGCGACTGGAAAACGGGTGCCGGAGAGGCACCATATGTGAGAGATGCTTTGCCAGGTGAGATTTAAAGACCATGGTACTGATCATTTGTACAATTTTCAGCATGGTGGCCTAGTTCAGTCTTCCATCTTAGAAGCTACTAGGGTGGAGGCCCTCGCTATTGGGTTGGAGGCCCTCGCTATTGGGTTGGAGGCCATCGCTATTGGGTTGGAGGCCATCGCGATTAGGTTGGAGGCCATCGCGATTAGGTTGGAGGCCATCGCGATTAGGTTGGAGGCCATCGCTATTAGGTTGGAGGCCATTGCTATTAGGTTGGAGGGCATCGCTATTAGGTTGGAGGCCATCGCTATTAGGTTGGAGGCCAACGCTATTAGGTTGGAGGCCATCGCTATTAGGTTAGAGGCCATCGCTAATAGGTTGGAGGCCATCGCTACTAGGCTGGAGGCCATTGCTATTAGGTTGGACGCTATCGCTACTAGTAACAAGATTTTGTAATCAATGTGGTCTGACTTTTGGTTCACCTGCAGGTCCTCGATCACTCCGGGCTCCACCAGCTCACGCAGCATTTAGAGTACAAGGTACGGTAGCTTTAGGACATCATTCATCATTGACAGTGTTCGAGTCGTTATGCTCCCATGCAGCAGCTTTTCTATTTTAAATGTTTTGCTATGTTTCTTGATTTTTTAGAACGGGAGGCCCTGCCCGTGGAGTTTGGCAGCATTTTGGTGGTTTAACTTTGGAAGTCTGAGGGTAGAGCTTTGTCCGCGTGATGTTGCTTTCATGTTCGCAACTGTCGCCGCCGACCGCAACCGTTTAAATGTGATCGACCAGGCCAAGACAGTGGGGGAAGCTTTTGGAAGAGGTTTTGGAAGGCTGAAGTGGCAGATTCATGTGAAATAGCGCCGTTATTCACACCCATGTTTTGCAGACGCAACAGGTGGAGAGTGTATTTTTGCCTGGCGAGGATTGCCGGGTGAGCAACCACCTCAGAACTGGAGCGAACAGAGGGCTAACTATGCCCTGAAATTGGCTCAAGTGGAGAGAGGTGCGTCGCGCTGGGCTGAGACCGCAAACGCGGTGATCAACTGCAGGCTGGGCTGTTCGTTGCCGTTGTCATAGCTGCCTCGGTGTTGCTTGAGCGAAGTCCTCTTGGGTCAGAGCGCATGCTGCTGCTGCTGCTGCTGCTGCTGCTGCTGCTGCTGGCGCTTCTGTCCTGCCTGTGTCTTTGCACCCTCTCTTCTTCAGACCCTCGCCTGCGCATAAGCGGATCCTGGTTCTGCGTGCAAAGGGGCGAGCAAGGTGGGAAGAAGGCAAGGAAACAAAAAGAGCTTCGTGAAAGGTAAGAACGTAACGTGGCAAGCTTGTCCCTCGTGCAGACCAGAAGGGGGAGAGGAAGTCTGCAGAGGTAGGTTCTAGCAAGCTTTCTGCTTCGAGTCAGGGTTCAGAGTTGGGTGTGTGTTCAGTGCTAGAGCTTCTTCACAGCCACCTGTGACTTCCCCTGTTTGTGTGGAGACGTCATCTTCTAGGCTCCAAGTGAGCCGCACTGTCGACTGGAGAAACTTTTGCTGAGGCCCCTGTTGTGACTGAGGTGCTGTTAAATACATCGCCTAAAGAAGCTGTTTGGGGTTGCGTGTTTCCTTAGACTGTCACGGGTTTTTAGACTGTGACGTAGCCAAGAGACCAGGAGCGCGCGTTGACGACAAGATCAGCGTGCTGCAGGCTTGTCAGGAAAAGCAGGTGGTGCCAGTGTCGTTCAGGACTTGCCCCAGTGACCACCAGTTCACTACAGCCTCTACTTTGTCAGACGCGCTTTTGAGGGTGAGGAGATCGGGGTGTTTTCGTGCCTGTTCAGTGGAGTTGTATCAGCGAACCCAAGTGGCAATTCATAGCATTATCAGGGCGTGAAACGCAACATGTTGAAGTGTGGAGGATGATTTTGCTGCGCAGGTACAGCGCTTTGTGAGATCCTCCGTTTCCTTCGCCGTGACAGTGGGATTGGCGTTCGCAGGGTGGTTTGTGTCGGTTTTGCGGTGCAGGCTGTTGCCTCGGGGCTGTGTTTTCGTGACAGGTCTCAGCTAAAGTTGCGATATTGGTGGATGTGAGTGCGCTTAGAAAGTGTCGAAGTCATTCCAACCATACGGTGCGGTACAAATTCTGCTGAAGACATGAAGACGTTTGTTTTCGAGACTCGGAAGAATCTTGTATGAAAGGATGGTTTTCGAGAGTTGACGCATGACTTTTGGAGGAAGTCTCGTACGAAGCGCTCGTTTTTGAGACTTGACTGACCTGTGTTTGGAGGAAGTCTCGTACGAAACGTTCGTTTTGGAGAGTTGACGCATGACTTTTGGAGGACGTCTCGTACGAAGCGCTCGTTTTGGAGACTTGACGCGTGACTTTTTGAGGAAGTCTCGTACGAAGCGCTCGTTTTGGAGACTTGACGCGTGACTTTTTGAGGAAGTCTCGT